TATATATATATTAAATTTATAATTAAGATCAGCTATGAAATTAATAAAATAAAAATAAATAAAGAAATAGAGTAAGTATGGAGATAATGAACTTGGTATGGTAACGCTTTTAATAGCATCAATTCGACCATATGCTGTATTGTTAGAGTAAGTAATATTACGAGATTTGATAAAAATAAAAAGGAATAAAAAATAAAATACTGCATGGAATATTGCCAGGGTATTCGATACAAAGAAAGATAAATCATGTGAAGAGAGAAAAAGATTATCAACAATTGTCTGCTATGTTGGCAGTAAGGAAGATACTGATGTTACAGCGGTGACCATGGCAGCCACCTGTTTAACGCACACACACACACACACTCTCTCTCTCTCCTGCTCGTCATCTTACCCCGCACACTTCAGCAAATACTCATAATATACCGATAAAAAAAAAAAGAACGTAAGTAAACACATCACACGTCATACTTACTGAGAAAAAGCAAAGCATTGGTTCCATACAAGTGGTAAAATGACCAAAAACCCACTGAACATCAGCAAGTTTCGAACATTGGTCATATCTTCTTAGCCATTTATTTTTCTTGAACTCGAATGGTGGTATACACCTCGTTACACAAATTAACTTATGCCTTTTCTTAAAGATAATCCAAATTCACACTGACGTATATCCTACGAAATAGTAGTATCCAGGGTTATAAAACTGCGTTTTGCCGCCCGTGTTGTCTATCATATCTTCTTCTTATTTGTACACAAAAAAAATTTCTATTCTTGTTATATGATTGTCGCCGTTAAACTTGTACTTATTACATTCGATGGCTTGCAACAGCTTTGTAAATTCCTACGACGTGTTGAATTAGACAAGTGGGGCACTGTCAAAACGCACTGTCTACAATGCCTCGTATGGCCGCGATGGACGGTGGTGTTCACAGGCCGTGCGAATATCGATCGCAAAAGTAATAATGCGCATGCCATCTGCGCATACGTTCCCTTCTTCACCTTTCATCGTTTCTGATTCGTAATGGAATCCTTCTCGGTCGGAGAAGAATTCAAAACCAAAAAATTAAAAAAATAAAAAATAAATTCTCTCTCTCTCTCTTTTTCTCTTTCTCTCTCTCTCTTAATTTCTAAATATTCTCTATTGGTACTTGGCACTCTTCAGCGCCAAGTACAAAGTAATTACAAATGTAACACGAGGTAAAAAATAATATAATTCTATTCTTTAAAGAATAAAATGTAAATATGTTATGATTTTTCTACTTGGCGCTTTGAAAGCCAAGTAAAAATTTATTTTATATTACACTTTTTTCATTTATTTATCTTATTTTTTTATTACCCCATATATATATATATATATAGCCTATATGAACTTATTCTTGCCATATTTATATAACACGAAGCGCCAAGTAAAAACTGTATAAAAATATATAAAAAAAAATAATTATACAAAAATAATTTATATAAGGTTATTGTATTTTTAGTATTGTATATAACAACACATGAAAATTAAGTAATATACAAGAAACGTAATTTCCTTGGATGTTTTTTTTTTCTAACAAAAAAAAAAGAAAATTTAAATCGAATTTTTTAAGAATTTTCATGCTACAACTTCATGTTAACATGAATCGCATTAAATTAAATACTTGGCGCTTTTTTAGATAGTGTGTCAAATAAGTGCTTTTTTAAGTGGTTTGCTGTGTACGTCACAGAACAGATGGCTAATGCTGTGATATACATTTAAGGATCTATTTATATATTAATTCACTTCAAAAACAAACGAATGTTTCCGATATTTTATGGTGCGGTAAACTTACAATCTTATTTTTACGCGCACGTTTGTTATATAACGGTAAAATGTAATTTTAAATTTCATTAGAGCAATTTTTCGCCACTAGATGGAGACACAAATTTTCTTACCTTTCTCATTTACAAGAAAGTATCCTTCAGGTTGTATCTAATGTCACATGTTACCGTAGAAACGTAACACGTGTTAGCATTGTTTACCATAAACTTATGTTAAAATTAACACATAAAGTATAGTACACGTATTACTAGGAACGTACTTTTGATAATGTCAAATATGGAAATTTTTAGAGTGATTTTTCTATATAAAAAAAAAATGTAGGGCAATTAAGATATTAAGCTGATACATAATTTATACAGCACATCCAAAAGTTTCACGAATCAAAAAGAAAAAAAAATGATGGATAAAAATAATGATGAGAATTAATTGAAGTCGTGTCTGAATTGCGTGTAATAGTTAATAAAAAAGAAATAAAATAAAAATTATTCAATAGGTAAAAAGAAAGAAATATTAGATTGAGAGAAATTAAATACATTTACAATACATTACTTTTACTTTTCATGTTTAGTTTCGTTAACACGATGATATCTGTTTCAATTCATTTCCAATGATAAAGAATGTGTTTAATGTGTTTCAAACGTTGCAATACACTTGGC